AGACGGAGTCTCGCTCTGTCGCCCAGGCTGGAGTGCGGTGGCGCGAGCTCCACTCACTGCAAGCTCCGCCTCCTGGGTTCACGCCATTCTCCTGCCTCAGTCTCCCGTGTAGCTGGGACTACAGGCGCCCGCCACCGCGCCCGGCTAATTTTTGTATTTTTAGTAGAGACGGTGGTTCACCGTGTTAGTCAGGATGGTCTCGATCTCCTGACCTTGTGATCCGCCCGTCTCGGCCTCCCAAAGTGCTGGGATTACAGGCGTGAGCCACCGCCCCCGGCCCAGAGTGATCTTCTTACAACCAGAATCAGGTCTTGCAGCCTCCTGCCTGAAACCCTCCCTGGCTTCTCCCCAGTACTGGGAATAAAATCCCAGTTGCTCCCCACCCGCATCACCTCTGCAAGCCCGTCCCGTGCAGCACACCCTTCCCTGCTCTCCCTCCCGCTCCTGCCTCTCTGCTGCAGGCACCCTGTCCCTTGAGGTCCTTGACATTCCACCTGTCCCCCCACCCCAGGACCTTCGTGCATGCCTTCCTTCTGCCTGACACTTTCCCCTCGGGTCTCAGCAGATCCAGCCCCTCAATTTTGGAGTCTAGGCCTTCCCGGACCCAGTGTGAGGGATGGCAGATGCTCCCTCCGGAGGCAGCCGTCACCCCCAGGCTTGCTGTCTGCTGCCCTCACCAGGCTGCAAGCTCTTCGGGGCAGGGACTGTCTCTCGTTCCCCGCTGGTGCCCAGCGCCAGGAGCAGGGCACGGAGGAGCTCCATATGTGCTTGGATGGGGAGTGTGGGCCCTGCAGGCATCTCTCCCACACAGAGGGCTCTACAGGTCTTACCACCTGAGGCCCCCTTTTCGCTGATCCAGCCTGGTTGGGGCCCAGCCACCGGCCACGCCCAGGGGAGAGCAGCCCAGCCTGGGGCAGCTGGAACTGGAAACCAGGAACAGAGCCGGTGAGGGCTTTTGTGCTGAAGGCGACTTGATCCCATGGAAGGTTCTGAGTACTCCACCCGCTTTTCTCCTCCGTGCTGCCAAGAAAACATAGAAGGCGGCCCCCCTTTCACCCATAGCTGGACTGGGACCTGGATGGCCTGGCTTCTGGACTCTGCCCTTAAGTGTTTATGACTGGCCAACACTGGGCCTCAGTTTCCCTCTACGGAACAAGAGCGCCATTCATTCCTTCAACAAGTATTTATGAGCCACCACCGTGGGCGTCAGGGGCCAGGTGGGAAGGAAGCCAGGCCCAGCAGATGGTGAGCAACAGTCTGGGCTCCAGGAGAGGGGAGAGGGGAGCAGCCCGGGCAGGAAGGAGCTGAGGAGGAATGTGGGTGCCACTGGAGCCCATCACTGTCTGGCACTCCGAGGAGTGTGAAGAGGGGCAAGGGGTTGTCCTCCTTAGGTGGGGTGGGGGGCGGCGGCGGGGACGGCTGTTGCGCTCATCAGTCAGCCCTCGCCTGTAGCCACCCTGGGAGAGGAGGTGGCCCCT